CTGCTCACTTCACTCTCCATGATACAAAACATGAGAATCTCTCAAGATCCCTTATTCATCAATTCCCCAGCCCCAAACTAAGCGCATAACCTAGTAAAGTTCCAATTTTTTCCCTAAACCCCTACACCTAAGAAAAACACAAGCCTGTAGTCTCATACAAAAATTGGCCTAACAACGGAAAACAAATAAGCTTCTGCAATATTCAGAATCATCAGAACCTACCCTACTCTCAAATCTTCTTTTACCTAAAACTGTTGTGCCGGGTCGAGATCCATTCTTAGAACTCTCTCAATGTTATTGCCCAGGTCGAAATGCACCATCCCAGCACCAGAAATCCCTCCAACAGGGTAGGGATACCCATAAAACCCTGATGGCTGCTGCTGCTGCTCATACATTTTCCCACCATTCATAATCATACCAGTAGAAGCGCGATCCGGAACTAAAACCTGCTGCTGCTGCGCATACATTTCCCCACTTGTAATCAAACCAGCAGCAGCCGGATCTGGAACAAAACCCTGCTGCTGGTACTGCTGCTGCTGCTGCTGGTTGTCGAACATCTCGTTCCGACGAATCGGCAAGTCAGCATCATGACCAGTCTCCAGATTCCCCAGGATTTCCAATCTTTGCATCATCAGGAAGTTCTTATCAACTGAAGAAGGTGACCCTTCCGATACCGACCCACTGAATTGATTGCTGCTCATTTCAGTATCAAACAGGTTGCTGCTGCTGATATGCACATCTGATAAAGAAGCTCCTGAGCTGGAATCATAATAACTTCTCTCTGGTGCCAAGTACTGGTTCCCCATGGCGGCCGCGGCTGACATATCGTAGCTAACCAGCCCGACATTCGGGTTGGGCTCTGGCAGCATCTCGCCCCACATTGCAGCATTGGTGATCATTTGCTGATCTGAATGGGAAAAAACGAAAGTGTATGTTGTCTTAGAAGAAAGTGGTGGGGAGAAAAGGAAGGAGCTTTTGCTACATTGTTATTTGTTAATACCTGGAACTGGGGATGGAGAGGAAAGCTGGGAGAAATGCTGCTGAGGGTTTGGGTACAGAACAGGGTTGATGACCAGGTTGAGGGTCGGGTTGAAACCGGGACAGAAGTCAGGCAGAGGTGGAAAGTAAGGATCTTGGAGACTGGGGAATGGGTTGCGGCTTAGTTGAAAGAGCCTTTGATCGGCTTGGAGAAGCTTTTCATATGGCTTCTCTAGCTTCCCTGGTGGATACACTATTTCATGCCTCCTGAAGAAGAAGAAGAGATATAAGAGCAAACAAGGAATCAGTCAGGTAATCAGTGGAACTGTAAAAAAGATTGTGTTGCCAATTGTCGCAGGTTGTTAATTTTTTTTTTGTCATAATAATTTCCATGGTAACATAACACTTCGTATTGTTGAAAAAGGTGATAGTGTATTACTTCAATAAAAAAACAATTTGCATTAGTGAACTTGAAGTTAAACTAATCCATTAATATTTAGTAGTTATCAAAAGTTGAATACAAGAGCATATATTATCAAGAACCAATATACACATAAGGTAGGACAAGGTATTACATCGTATGTCTTTTTCTTATTTATCTCATCAAATGAAATCAATTTATAGAAATCCATCATAATTTAAAATAAAATTAATTTGTTAAAGGTAGGGGGTTACTAAAATTTGAAAACACAACGGTGTGACGATTCGTCTCGAAAACTCGATCCATCATAACGTATACTTACATCAAACAATCAATACTAGAGATTTCCGGAATTTAAAAACACAATCAAATCAATATTCAGTTTGTCAAAATAACTCGACACATCATCACTTATACGTGGATTTAGCTCTTAGAGATAAAAGTGATTATAGATCAGAACACATTTTATGCCAAGAACAAATAGTTGCTGCAACAATTCATATTGAGAGTTCCAAAAATACATAACTCTACTATGAATCATAGCTATTAATATAAGTGGTTATCAAAATTTCGAAGGCAAAACCGTATCACAACTCCATCATTCCGTCAACATCTAATATCCACAAATATAGAATTGTAGAGTTCATAGGAGTTTTTCATAATTTCAAATGTCTTTCAACTAGATCGAGTAAAAGTAAAAAGTGTAGATTTGTCTTACTCGTAGGAAAAAAATACATTGTTCCTAATATTTGAGCAATGGTCTCTTTAAACAATAATATGAATAGTTAACAATTACACTACAAAACTTTTATTTATTTTTTTAAACTAAAAACCGTACACAAACCTAAAGTCTTAAAAACATGACTTTTTCACTATGGTTAACTAGCCCACTAACTATTTCATAAGTATTTCTTTGGTGTTTCATATTTTGATTTTCACATTTTGATTATTTCAATTAAATTTTAACAATTAATTTAGCTACTGTAAATATACATTTGAAATATTTTGAAAACTTTAGAATATCATATATATTAGTGATGGCAATGGGGCGGGACGGGGTACGGTGCGGGGCGACCCACTCTTACATGTTATTTGAAAAAAATAGACGCAAATTTTACTTTTTACGATAAATCGAATATGAAAACACTTTATGTATGAAAAAAAAAGATAATTGAATGGGTAAATGAGTCTAACAAGTTGAAAGATCAACTCTAACTAGTTGAAGAAAAGTCAAAATAGGAGAAATATGTATAGATACTGTAAGAAATCGAGATAGAATGAGTCAAGAACGGGACGAGACACGGCGGATCGGAAAATAGATAGTAGATACCTATGCCCCGCCCCACACTATCCAGAGTTAGGTATTACCCGCCCCATCACATATCAGGTCGGGTAATACCCGCAGGGCAGAGTTAAATTGTCTTCACTAATATATACATATTCAAATGACATTCCTACACCAAATTAGTTAATGACTAACTGTACTTGGTATAACTTGTTTAAACCAAGTTGATAATATTAAAAGCTAAGAATTTACATAGACATACCATTTTGATAAATAATTTGGTTGATTATTACAGGTATGAGCATAATCCATGAATTCACGAACATGCACTAAGAAGAAAAACATACGTGGAGAACCAATTCGTTCCATTTACCAACCTGCATTTTGAAGCTTCGCCGCCAGTGAAATCTGATGTCGGCATCCAGAGTGTGTGCTTTCTTGGCTGTGGATCCTTTTCTCGAAAGAAACTAGGACGTTGCTTCAACTGCGACATAAAATCACACAAACCCACTTAATCAAAACCCACGAAATGAAAGAAATCAGGACTACAAAAAACGAAGGAAAACCGCCATGCCTCGACACGAAGAACTCCAGGCTCGTTTTCACGAATACAGGCGTCAATGGCAATGATATCAGACCACTGAACTTCAATCTTGCTCTTCAAACTTCCTTCCAATATCTCCCAGACCAGTTTCTCCTTCTTAAAATAACACTTCGCCACCACATCACTCTCGTTCCTCGCAACTCTCTGTTTTCACACACGCAGCAGGGGAAGAAAAGAAAAAAAAACAGAGTCGGAACAAAACTTTCGAAACCCATATGAAAATTGGAAGCGGAATTCACCATTTTTAAAAGAAATTTACCTCCCAAGAACCGATTTTCAGCATATTTACGGGTTTGATTGCAGGTTTCTGCTTCTCTGAAGCGGGCTGAGAGCTGGGATCCCTGAGCCAGGTCGTTTCAATTCGGGGAGCATTCAGCTGACTCTCCATCCAGCGGGCCAGTTCGGGAGAATTATTGAGTTTCAATCCGAGTGGCCTCAACCTAGCGAGGTAGTCTGGCAATCTCAGCTGCAACAAAAAAGAAAACGAATCAAAACCCAAGAGGATTTCAAGAGAAAGAAAGACGAAACTCGTTTCACTTCTCCTCCATTGCCAATGGGGGAAAAGAAAGAAAGAGAAAAGAAAAAACAGAGTATCTTGAGGGAGGGGAAACCTGCTCAAGAGTGTAGTTATAGGTTGAATCTGTAGCATGGCTGGGATTGGCCATGTTCGTAACAACGGAAGAAGAAGAAGAATTCTCATATTCTGGACGGTAGTAATTGTAATTCTGAATCCGGTTCTGATACTGGTGCTGTTGCTCTGCATTTTGGTTCCAGGGGAAATTTGGGTCAGGAACATAATCCCGAACCATTGTTTTCCTCCCGAAGATTTTCTTTCTTTTGTCAGATGAGGATCTAGGCTTAGATTTCAGAGGAAACCCAATTGGATTATGACTTGAAAGGAGAGCGAAAAATGAATTAAAAATGGCGGCGGACTAGAATTTAGGGAGAGAGGAGAAAAAACAGAGTACGAGTGAGAGAGAAAAAACAGAGGAATCATCTTTTTTCCTCTCTCTCAATTTATAGAGTTATGATTTCAACTAAATACTCTGCTCTCTTGATAATTTTGGCTTTCGTTAATTTATTTCACAGACTTTTTATTTGTTTATACTTTATATTTATGCTATTAGGGTTGGATTGAGTAGCGGTTGGGGCTAGACCAAACTAATAAGAACCGTGGTACAATACGTAAAAATATCTTAGGATAACGATCAGATTATCATTGTATTCGATTCTGTATGGTATGATCAAAATGTCAATTTGGTTCATTTTCTTCGGTATTTATAATATTCATGGATCAAGAACCGGATCGTATTATATTTGGTTTAATTTGGTTTGACCAAAGGTCTGTTTGGTCCGATCCAAATATCGATTTGGCCCAGTCCAAACGTTGATATGATTCGCTTTATGTTCATGCTTTTTTTTTTGTAAGACATTCATATGATATAAATGTCAATATATCTAATCAAACAATCATTTATGATTTTGTCCCTTATTCTAATATTGAAGAGCGTCTGTTGATAAGTAGGAAATCATTCGATTGCAGCTATTCACAGATATCTTTCCATATTTGAAGACCGAAGAAAAGAAAGACAACAACGGCTAGCAAAGTAAATTGGGAAAGCAAGCAACGGCTAGTAGAGGAACCACTGGAAACTATGAAGACTATTTTTTGGTAAAAAATGGGATGCTAAAAGGGCGCCGCTGCCTGATACTTAAATTAAACGTGTTTGAGAAATGGCCAAATTATCATACAAGATCCAAAAGTTTAAACCCGGATCTGGAGGTTCAATAATATGGAAACCTATCCTGAAAGAGTGACCTATATTAGCAAGATAATCTCCTACTTTATTACACTCTCTATAACTAAGCGAAATGCGCACTTCCCACTGTTTCTTCATCAATTCCTGGAATTGATGATACAAAATGTAGTACATGTCATTGCTCGTCTCTAGTGACGTCAATATGTGAAAAGTAACCATGGAATCAATTTGGAGATGAACTTTCCTGTAGCCTCTTTCCCAGGCGACTTGTAACCCCTGTATGGCACCTTTAATCTCAGTCTGTGTGATACTGCATGTTCCAAAGTTTGATACAAAGGTGGCCAGACATCTACCAATATGATTACGAATGACCCCACCTGTTGTTGCTTCTGAATCCGGTTGTTTTACTGACCTATCTGTGCTTAATGTAACCCATCCTGGTGGCGGCAGAGTCCATAATAGGTCACTCAATCTCTTGCTCCGATGTTCTTAATGTATTTTGTCATTTTGTTCCTGCACTTGAGCAATTACTCTTGTCCAGCTTAGAATCCTTTAAGCTAAGATGGAATCATCCTGCTGTTTATGCTGGAAGACCCATTCATTCCTCCTCTTTCATAAATAGCATGTTGCTACACCAAAAGTTAGTCCCCAGTGACGGTCCTTGAGGTGTGCCATCAACCAACTTGCAAAATCACGACCCAAAGTGAGATTTATTTTCCCAATACCCAAGTTTCGCCATACCTGAGTTGTCATTGGGCATTGCCGAATAATGTGTTCCACCGACTCCGGGGCTTTCTTGCATAGGTCACAAGTGTCATTGGTACAAAGCTTCCTTCTTTTCCTTTCGCATTTTGTCATCAGCCGGTTATGGAAAGCAAGCCATAAGAAGTGTCTCATTCGGTTGTGGCCATTCCATTTCCAAAGGCTCTTCCAGATTGGCTGTCCAATCTCGTTGGTCGCCTCCTTATCGTCTGAATGAATCCACTCAGTCACTCCCCGGTAGACTGATCGAAGCCGAAATCTCCCTTAAGCCTCTAATCGCCATGTCATTACATACTCTCCAAGTTCAGAATTAGGAGGTTTTGTTCCTACAATAAAATAAATCATAGTATTAGGAATGTGAGGCATGATTATGGTCCACCTCCACTCACCTGTGTCAGTGGTCATCTGTGCAACTGACACCTCCCAGTCAATGTTCAGGCTAGTATCCAACACTTGGTCACTAAGGGTTGTGCCATCAGCCAACCAATGGTCCGTCCAAATTTCACATTTATGCCTTTCAAATATTCCACACAAGACCTTGCTTCATTAATGGTAGGGCATCTAATACTCATTTCCAACGTCTTGGGGTCTATGACATGGTAATACTGTCATCCTCATTTTCTCGCACATATTTTTCCTGCAAAACTTTAATCCATAAAGAATCATCGTTATTCAGAAATGACCAGCCAAGTTTCATTAGATATGTCATGTTTAAAGCTCTTTCTGATCAAAGTCCAAGTCGACCTTCCTCATTGGGTTTGCAAATGGTGTCCCAAGTGACTAGGTGTGTCTTGGTTTTGCCATCTTCAGCACCCCAGATAAATGCCATAATCTTCTTGTCTATGGCATCAAAAATATGGTAGAGAATGACTGCAGTTTGCATGACATAATTTGGTAAGGCATTAAGAACAGAGACTGCGAGTGTGACTCGTCATGCAAGAGAGAGACTCCTGGTTTTCTAGCCCATTAGACGTTACTTAATCTTCTCCAGGATAAACTTATAAGTCTCCATGGTCACTCACCCATGAATAATTGGGACACCGAGGTATCATCCCAGGTTATTAGTATGTTTGATACCAAGAAGAGCACTAATCCTGTCCTTCATACTATCCTTAGTATTCTTGGAGAAGAACATGCAAGACTTGTCTTTGTTAATTTTCTCTACGGATGCGTTACAGAACTTGTTCAAGCAATTTGAAATAGTGTTTCCCTACCTTGGATTCGCCTCTGCAAAAAGCACCAGATCCATTCTTCAATAAGGAGATTGGTTTCCAATCAGCTCTCTTCACTGAATCTTTAATACAATGATTAAGTCGTTCAATACATAAAATAAAGAGGTAAGGGGAGAGAGGACATCCCTATCTAAGTCATCGAGCCGGTTTGAACTCTTTTGTGTAACTGCCATTCCATAATATTTGGAAACTCGTTGTAGTCACACATGCCATAATTAGTTACATGAAGTCCGTTGGTAGCTCAGCCGCACACAGTGTGGAGTACCAAAATATCCAGCTAATCCTGTCATAAGCTTTTGCTAAGTTGATTTTAAGATCATGGTACCCCGCTGCCCCTTTTCCTGTTCATAGAGTGGACAACTTCCTAAAGGATGATTATGTTGTCTGTTATGTAGCGACCTGGCACAAAGCTTGTTTGATTCTCGTCCACCCGCTTAGACATAAAATGTTATGGGACAATGCAAGTACCACATCAGTAATACAAGGGAAGGGACCTTGTATATTAGTGTCCACCTAGCCCAATTAGTACGAGGCCTTTTGGGGACGACACCCAAGAGTAAAACCGTGCGGGCTTGGCCCAAAGCGGACAATATCGTACTAATTGAGCTAGGTGGACACTAATATACAAGGGTCCCTTCCCTTGTATTACCGATGTGGTACTTGGATTGTCCCATAACAATCCTCCCCTCAAGACAAGGACCACGAACATCGTGTCCTCACCTCAGCGATTATCTTGATCCGCCAGACACCTTATATCGATGGGCTTTTCGGTCAAGGATTTTCCCAAACGCAGAACTCTCTTTGATCTTCCAAACAAACGTGGATCTTTCCACCAGACAAACACGGACCTCCCTCAATCTTCCAAACCAGATGTAGCCCAAACGTGGATCTCTCGTGGATCCACCAAACCAGACGCAAATCGCAAATCCTGAGGTCACCGATGAGGCTCCACTATGATGTCTACCGCCCTGAACCGAACCAGGCTCTGATACCACTTGTCATAATCGGGCAGCCCAGTACGATATTGTCCGCTTTGGACCAAGCCCGCACGGTTTTACTCTTGGGTGTCCTCCCCAAAAGGCCTCGTACTAATTGGGCTAGGTGGACATTAATATACAAGGGTTCCTTCTCTTGTATTTTCAATGTGGTACTTGGATTGTCCCATAACATAAACACTTTCAGCCTGTTAGCTAGACACTTAGCAATTTCTTTGTAGCTAACATTGCACAGTCCTATTGGCCTGGATCCTGCCTTGGTTTTGGGTCGGTTAGCCAGATGCCTGAATTGTAACTAACTATGAAGACTATTGATGTGCATGTGTGTAGTGGTATTAATGCAATCAAACATAATCAAAGTTATAAAATTTCTTAGATATGTCTAGGTTCGTATACCACAAGGTTTTTTAATAATAACTACTCACAAGCCACAACCACTCATTTAATGCTCAAACAAAGACACAACATGAATCGATGAGTTGAAGTTCCCTATGCGAATCAAACAATTACATTTACAAACTTTGACACCCAATCCAAATACTTCAAAAGCATAAGGAAATCATTATAGACCATCAATAGATATAGGGAATAAGTTCACAATCAAAAATTAAATACACACCCATGACAAATCTACAAGGTAGAGTTTATCTCATAAGCAACTGATAAGCTAAAACATAGAGGCATAAAGAGTGTACAAAGAGGAGCAATAAGAAAAGATTGTGTGTAGATTCATCTTCTACACCTTGATTTGATCACTCCACTTGAATCTTGGGTGAATTTGGGGTTGGACTGATGAAGAAATATCCCAAAAACCTTCCAAACTCACCTATCTCTACATCTTCATAATCCTATGTTTCTCTCTCTAGAATGTCCCCTTTCTGGAAAAATAGTCTCGAATACTTATATCCACGTGCATATGTCACAAATAATCGGTAAAGATCAAAGATCATGGTCGTAATCTTCATGGTTTACTGGTGATCTCAATATCACGATGCAATCTCACGATCATGAGTTTTGGGAGTGAGATTGATTGCCTTCTGCACAAGTGCTCCTTCGTTTTACCCATCAAACGACCTTCGAATGTCTTGAAACTTCCTAAAACCTTTATTAACATGCTAGATATCAAAATTAGATGAGAGAACACAACATAGTATCGAATGAGAGAGTTACGAGCCAAATTGCCAAAAACTTGTAAGAATCGTGCTAAGAGCTAGAATATCATCAATTAGTTATACATAGTATACTATCAACCAAAAATGTTGACATTAAGATGATTATTTCATCAAATGCCTAAGAAATGATGTCTAAAATATGGATAAATTGCGTGTCATCATGACTCCCCTCCATAAATAGACGTCTGGCCATTAGTATGAGGTGCAAAACCGTTTGGTCTCTTTAGGTACTTGGCTATAATGACACAATCTTAGATATCCTCTATTACCAAAGACAGAGTGCTCACTCGCATAACGAGTTAGCTGTGGTTTTCCAGAAGTAATGGAAGATCTATTTCCATATGAGAGTCGGCGCCTTTCAAAGCCCTGTTCAACCGAAGTGAGAAGGGCGAAGGAACGAAGTTGCTCGACTGAAAGGAGAGGGAGGGAATATGTGAGCGGGAAGGAACGAAATCGCTTGACTGAAAGGAGAGGGGGAGAATATGTTCGACGGAAGGCATTCAATAGTCAGGAAATTTTGAGCATGAAGGCTTCATTCGTTTGGGTGGCATTGCAATATCCCGAGACCTTCCTCTTTCTTAGTCCAACGAAGCGTATATCATTCCACTAGGTAATATTGTGCCATGCTTCCAAGCTTCCTCGGATGAAAGCTTTGATCTTCTTGTTAATGTATTATTACACTGGCCGACAAGGAGGTATGCTTGGTGTATGATGGGAGTGACGAGAGTACTTATAGAACAAGCGTGATTTTGTTTCTAGAGATAGTCTTCCAACCTACAAGAGGACATCGATTTTATCAATAAAAATAATAATAGTGGATTCGGAAATCCAATCATGGATGACTGGGCAATCTAAATAGTAGCCCAAATTCTTGGTCTTTGGAATATCCAGACCACCACCTATGACAACTTTTTGTGTCGGTGTCACTTTTCGTTTGAAAATTATGCGTGACTTCCAGTGGCGTAGCAAGAAATTTAGTTAATTTGGTCCAATGTTAAAATATAAAATAAAGTATACAATAATTCATGACGTGTTTCATATTTTGAAATATATCTAAA